TTGCAACAAACCCGCTGGCCTCTGATGCTCGGCCTTCACTTGCTGGCAAGTAAGGCACTTTGATACGAAAACAGTAAAATTTTCCCCTTTTCCCCAAACTTTCACAAAATTACCAAACCAACCCCAACATCTCAAAATACCAAAATTTAAAGACAAAGTTCATAGAGAGGAGTAGGATATCCCTAACTTGAAGTTTTAGCCAAAAAAGAGATGAAGACTCGAAGATCAACGTGCTCCAAATCCAAACTTTTTCAGATTAAATCGAAGCTCTCAACACCCTCTATCTTTTTAACAAAGGCCCTAGGCTAGATTCACACCCTAGGGAGATCAAATCTTAGAGAGAATGTAAGTTTAGAGAGAGAGAGGCACGGATTTAGGTTTTGGATCAAAAAGAAAGTGAAAAAGTGATGTTCAAAATCGCTACTGTCCGCTGATATAAAACACGCTCGCTCGAGCGAAGACATGGTCGCTCGAGCGACCAGACACTGAAACTCTCGCTCGAGCCAAGAAGTTCTCGATCGAGCGAAGAAAAACCCAGACCGCTCGAGCGAAGGAAGCTCGCTCGAGCCAAGAAAGACAGCTCTCAGGTCCAGAACCAGGTGCAACTGCTCGCTCGAGCGAGCCACTCTGGCTCGACCCACCAGACACGAACCCACTCTCGCTCGAGCGATAAACTCCTCGCTCGAGCGAAGGTCCAAAATTCTGGGCAGCAACACTAGGCTCCCGAACACAACCAACCTGTAACAAACCTGCCTAACACATCCTATAACTCAAATATGAAGAAAAGGAATGTAAACACGATAATAACCAAGTACCAACATCCGCGGACACATGTCCGGATCACTGTACAACAAGGGTAAACCCGGGATCGCTATATGTTATTGACACATCTTTTGTAAAGCATACACCCACTTTTTATAAAGCAAACACATCTTTTGTAAAACTTTTTCCCACTCTTTTGTAAAGGATACATATATTATCAGCTTAAGTGTATGGCAATATAATGTTGTTTTGCTTATATGGTTATAATTTGATTGGCAATAGTAGTACTAGCTAGTGTGCATTTTAATTTTAATTTTTTTTATTGCAGAGCACTAGTTGGTGTGCATTGTTTGGTATTTAATTTTTTAATTTTTTTTATATTTGATTTGTTTGGAATTGCAGAGTACAAGTTGGTATGTATTGTTTGATATTTAATTTTCAATTTAATTTGTTGAGATTACAGAGCATTTGCTAGTGTGCTTTATGTGGTGTTTAGTAATTTTTTTTCTTTTTATTACAGAATGCTAACGAGTATACAATAGTTTTGATTTTTGTATTTTGTTGAGTGTTTATATTTTTTTTTTTACTTGCTCTTATATTTTGATTTGCAATATTAGTAAACTTTATAAAATTTATGTTTTTTTGAACGCTATAAAACTTATATGTTTGTTTCTTAATTTGCATTAAGGTTAGGGATCAGACTCTCTCTGAGTTGTTGATTTAACCTTCTAGCTAGCTATATTAAAACTCTGTGATCATCTTCTTGCAGACAATCATGGAAGCAGATTTGAAAGGAGATGGGAGGATTGTTCCAGAAGAGTGGAAGGAATTGGTAGCAAGGCATCCATCTATATTAAAAAACATGACTGTTCCATATTTGACGTGAGTTATATATAATTCTATAAAAATCATGATTAAACATTTTTTCAATAGCCCAAAAAAAGTCCTATCATAGTCCTTTGGAAGAAATAATAATATATATATACACACATAGGACTCTCAATTTTTCCTACATGTACTCTTCATGTGAGTAACACTATGTTAAAAAAATTATGAATTTTAACATCCAATTTGAACAGAATGATGAACTTAAAGTCTAGGATTATTGACATATGTTTAAATTGAAATAATATGAACTAAAGTGAAACTTGGGTAGCAAACTATTAGGGTAAAAAAGTGTAGTAGACCAAAAAAGTATATTGAACTGGTAACTGCACTCTTTTAATTTCTACTGTGCTCAGTTTACTTCTCATTTAACTGCGACAAATTGTTTAGTGTGTGGTAGTTATTGTGAGATTTTTGACTGTGTGGTTACCATATTTCAGGGAAATAACACTGGCATTTCCAAGCTTTGTGCTGAACACTGGAGTCCAAGAGTCAGAACTATAGCTTCCTGGAAATGAAACTACTTTTGCATACATAGATACAAGTCACTAACTCTGGTTTTGAGAAGCACTGAACACATCAAGGAATTTCCATATGGAGATTTCTGTATAATGTTTTCACTTGAAGAAAGTGGCACAATAAAAGACTGTCAAGAGCCAAAGGTTCACTTACATATGGTTTTTTGATATAGTTTTCTGTGTCAGTTTCATTGTTGCCAATGTATGAACAAAGACTAATTCTATGTTACACACCTTTAATTTTAAGTCTTGTGGTCTAAGATTATGAATTATGACAGCTTTGCTGGAATTGTCCATAAATTCAGTGGTTTTTTTGTTTTGTTTTTTGGTTTTCCCAGTTTGGTTGATTAATTTGTTAGAATTATTTGGGGTAAAATATTAATAATATCAAAACAAATAATTTATATGATGTGAGAGATGATAATTGAGGAAATGATGTGCCGCTGCTGTGATCTTTACCATTTTTGAGTGAGAAAAGAAAAGGGTAAAATTTTATCTTGTGTTATTTTTGTATATAATATATATACATATATAGTGAATATCATCTAACGATTGAAATTATTTCAACTGCTAATAATTTATATGTATATTTAATATTTTTATATATTTATACATACAATTCGGTATTCAGGTTCGTTGAATTGTTTGGAATTTTTGTCCAAACCCATACTTAATTCAAAAATTTGTTGCACAAGCTTTAAAAAAATTTGGGTTTGGCTCGGGCTACTCAGATTAAATTTGGCAAAGTTGCACCCCTATTGGTTAGGAATAATAAATATTTTTGTTAATGGTGGTGAAATAAAAATTGATTTTATGCTAAACATATCATTTAGAAGTGTAAAAATAAGATTTCTTATGTTGTCATTCAGTTGATGATAATATTATTCTAGTTTGCTTCTCAAGAATCCTCTATTTCAAATTGATAAATCTAAAAATTTTCGAGATATTGATTCATGATTATATTTCAATTTAAAATAATAAATAACAATTGTAATCAAACAATCAAGACAAATCGGGACAATAATTTAACGTGAAAAAATCACAATTGGAGCACCTCCAATTGTGATAAAAACCACAGGTCAAAACTACAAAATAATCTACTAAGAAGACAAAAAAGAATTATACAAGAGTACTCTCAATTACTTAGCGAATCCATGCTTGAATTGAACCAAACCTGATGTGCCTCTTCTATCACCGTCTTCACCTCAGAATTGTCTTGCCCAACATTGAATCCACAATGTTGATGTCGAATCCACGATGATGAGCCACTCTGAAATTCACCCGAACTTCAAGCCCAAACTCCTCGAAATCTACCAAAGAACACCTCTCTCTTTTGTGAATGAAATAATAAGAACAACTCTTAATGTTAGATAATCTCTAGTTTGTTGATCAATTGATCACCTTCTATAAAAGAAACTCATATAAAACAGCTTCCAATAGAAAACATTTTGTCTTTTCTTTCTCTCTAAGATTTTGGATGGTTTCAACCCTAAAAATAGTGAACGATGCACGTTATAGAAAACAGAGCCGCGAAGACCGCTCGAGTGGTGTAACTAAAGGTGGTGCGAAACATATAGGTCAATTGCTCGAGCTCAACTTTCACCGCTCAAGCGGTAAAACTTTCTTCCTAGAAGTTCAAGCGCTTTGCAAAAGTACTGGATGATCATTTTCTCTACTCGAGTGCACAAATGACTGCTTGAACGGTTAAACAACTTTGATTACATTTTTGCTTTTTGCTTCAAGGGCGCTGCCCCTCGACCTCACCATGGCGCTGCACCGGACCCACCATGGGGCGTTGCCCCTTGGACCCCCTGCAAGTTGACCAAGCACCTCGATCTCTATGCATAGTCAACGAAGTGGCTAACATGAAGGCCTCAAGATTAGAAACTCTTTTACATAGGCACAATTCGAGTTAGATTCGCATACTACAAGTCTGTCTTGAATAACGAATTTTTTTGTCTCCAAAGAACTAATTTCGTCACTATAGATATTTGTGAGGAAATATTTTCCTCACCGGTTTCATCATTGAATATTTGTCAGTAAAAACCACGGTGACAAAAAATAATTTTGTCACCAATAAAATTACTTCAATGACGAAATTTTTTATCACCAATAAAACAACAATTTGTCGCTAAAAATCCTCATTTTCGTCACTAAATAGTTATTTAATACGATATTTATAACTTTAGTTGACGAATAAATTTATCACATATGTTGATCATTGATAAGGAAATAATTTTGTCACAGCAAGATGTAAAGTTGACGAAATTTTTCATCTCCATCATCTCCAAAAGTCATATGGATGACGAAATATATTTCGTAACAAAAATTTATATACATGATGAAATTTTTGGTCACCAAACAACAAAATCAATGAAAACTTTCATATATAAGCTGCAATAAATTTTGTCACAAAAAATATTTATTAGTGACGAATAATCACTTTGTCATAATAACAAGTACAGATGACGAAAAAATTCGTCACTAAACTACTTGTTTCATATTTTATATCTCAATTTAAATTATTAGTTTACAAATAGGGATTTTTATTGATAAATCTATTTTAGAGCTGTTATAACCCATTAGGTCCACAAAAGAATATTATAACCTGATTAGTCTCATATACTTTTCTTTTTATTTCATAAGGTCCATTTTACTAATTTTATATTTTTACCTGGACTATTATGCCCTTATATATATATATATATATACACATTGTGTTAATACATAACACGTTTCCTATTTTTTCGTTGATTTAGTTTTGGAGTTATGGTGTTTTTGTGTGCTTTGGTTCGTTACGTAATTGTTGGAGATCAGTCATTGATCGAAGGTGGAGAACGATTACAGAATTTTTTTCTCAAGGTTAGTATCATTTTGTTTATGAATGCATGTTCATTTATGTGAAGGATTGCATGCTCTGTTTTTTATTCATGTGCATTTTCTAGAATACATGGGTAATACAAGTGCATGTTTGATGAATGTGGTTCTGATTTTTTTACTAGTAATGCATGTATATTTTTGTTGTTTGAGTTTCGAATATTTTACAGAGATGCATATACAGTTGTTTGAACAAATTGATTGTGGTGGATCATTGGTGAAAAGTTGCATATACAGTTATTTTGATTTTTTTGTTAACCTCATTATTAATCAGTGTTAATATTCACATTATCTATAATGGAAATTTGTCATTTGTTTTATCAATCAGTGTGAATATTCACACATTCATATAATATTGAATAGTGTATATATTCACTGTGTTCATTGCCACTATGCAAAATGTTAAAGTTCACATCAGACCATTGTATTCAATCATATTATCACAAGCCACAATGTTTATTTAGATACAAAAATGATATGAATATTCACTTCCTTGTTTTGTTTCATCTCTGTTTGGTTAGATAATTCAGAATATGTGAACAATGTAAATGTTCACATATCATTGGCTATAATGTGTTTATTCATTTCCTTGTTTTTGTATTTTTGCAGCAGATGGATACATTCATGTTGGTGGTGTGCTCATATAGGTGTAGTACTATTGTAATAAATGTGGTGCAAGCTCTGTCTTGTTCATTTTTCGTGGAGTGTGTGTGTGAAAAATGGTGCGCGTTATCTACTGATTGTGTTTCACTATTCTATCGACTACTTGGGATTAATATGTGTTATTTTGGACAGTGATGATGAGCTTCAAAGTATGTTCTTGCTTGCCAAATCATTATGGATTCAACATGCAGAGGTTGTTGTTGGATTGATGTAATGTTGGAATTGCATGGTAGTGATAATGATGAAGATGAGAATGTGGGTGATGGTTTTTTTTTGTTTTTGGAGAGTTTGAGATTTTATGGGTTTTTTTGTTTCTAGATTTCTAGTTTTTTGTACTAGAATTTTGTCATATGTATTGTCAATTAATGTTAATATTTACACTTTTTTATAATATTGAATGGTGTATATGTTTTTGTTGTGTTCATTGCCATTATGCAATATTGATGATATAAATATTCAAGGACTATTTTGTTTTAGACACAAACATGATGTGAATGTGAATATTCACAACGCAATAAATAAATGTGAAGATTCACATTAATTATGATATGTTTGTTCATGGATCGTACACCTAATTAATGTATAATGTGAATATTAACATTGTAGTCAACTACATTTTGATGTGAATATTCACAATGCAATAAATAGACATGAAGATTCACGTTTATTCTAATATGATCATACATATAATTAATGTACAATGTGAATATTAACATATGTAGTCAACCACAATAAACATAAGACATAATTTGAACATTCACATTTATTGAACATAAATTAAGATGTAAACATTCACACAAACTTCAACATAAGAAAACAGATTTGAATGTTCACAGTCTATATTGTTTAGCACACGCAACACATTAACACCAAATATACCATCAAAAGACATAGGCATGTGAGAAGTATATCATTGATTTATATATATGCTGTCAAGTGTTTTCAACTGCAAGTTATCAAAGTTACAAAAAAAAAAAAAAAAAACTAGCACTGTATTCTGGTATAGCTAGTAAATAGTGGACAATCCCAACTATCGAACAACGAAGTTTGCCTCAAGTAGTCCAGCTGAAAATCTGAGAACTTGTTGCTTCTCATCAGTTTTACTAAGCCTGTGATGTTTGATCGATAATTGGCATGTCGCATGTTGATGTGGGTGTTGCTCTCTAGAGGCATGCTCTCTTCTTTGACATAATAATCGTCCCTCTTCATTTTTGTGCAAAATTTAGATGCAACGTCTGTTACATGGGCATGCACAAATAGTGAGTGTTTGTATGAACATTAAATTTGATTTCAATAGAATTTGTAGGGTAGGCATGTACATTGACATCAGCACATCATTAATCAGTGTGGATGTTCACATTCAACGATGTTCATATAAGTAAAAGCAGCAAAGTGCTATTTAAGTGACAAACATAGCAATGTGAACATTCACATCATTGGAGATGTGAATATTCACATTACTACTAGGGTACAACTAGTAGTAGTCACACCAAATGTTAATATTTAAACATCCATATAATATTACATATGTCTATGTGTATAGAAGAGAATGTTAAAGTTCATATCAACATTTGGTTACAACAATTCACAGTATGACAATGATTATATGTACACATTTATAAGCAAATAGCACCAATGTAAATATTCATAGTGGCTATAAACAACCAAACAACATGACAGCATCACCCATTCATTACCCACAAACCACATATTTTCAATGTACACAACTATGATGTGAATAATAAGTGGACAAATATGAACAACATTAATGCTCACAATGTCA